GCACAAACATTTGGAAATGTGGCACATGATTCATATCTTGCATAGAAAGCTTGGCCATGCCAGCTTTAGAGTTTTGCAAAAGATGGAACAGTTTGGAGGAGGATTAAATTTAAAGGGATGTATGGGATACTTGGACTGTGCAGTATGTAAATCATCAAAGTCCAAGGTATTTCCTGTAAGCAAGAGTAGCACAAGGCAGACAATAAGAACTCTAGAGCTGGTACGTACAAATTTGGTTGGGCCAATGCAAGCCAGTTTGGGAAGAGCAAAGTATGTCCTGGTCATTGTAGATGACTATAGCAGATTTGGGTTCTGCTATTTACTAACGAGTAAAATAGAGGTGCTACAGAAATTTAAGCAATGGGTAAGCTTTGTAGAAAGGAGATATAAACAACAGGTATGTCAGCTGCAAACTGATAGAGGTTCAGAATTCATGTCAGCAAGGTTGGGACAGTTGGGTATAAAGCACAGAAACACAAATCCGTACACTGCAGCTGAGAATGGCATGGTTAAGAGACAGAATGGTGTCTTACAAACAATGAAGGACTCACTGCTGGAGGATTCTGGTCTGAGCAGGTCATATTGGAGTGAAGCCATGTTGACTGCTAATTATTTAATCAATAGGCTGTGGAGTTCCTCAATTAATGATAATCCATATGCTGTGCTATATGGGAGAAAGCCATTTCTGGCACATTTTAAGAGTGTTTGGAAGTAATGCATGGGTGCATATTCCAAAAGCAATTAGGAGAAAAGATCAACCAATAGCTAGAAAGCTCAGGTTACGGGCTATGAGTGTCAGACGTGGAAGGCATACTTCTGCCTTTGTGCCTTCAGGCTTCAGGCCTGTCACAAAACCTACTGTGGGAAATTGGGAGGGGGATTGCATAGAGAGGAGAAGATACGTAGTCACAATAAAGTTCTTTATAGAAAGTCAAGGCCATGGGGCTCTGAAGCTGTGTGGAGAAGAATGAGGAGGTATCATCTGTTCTGGACAGTAATTGATTGGATGTGTAGTGGACACGTGGGAGAGGGGCAAGGTCTTGAATTTTCTTTTGGATGTGGAAAACCCAGAAGCTCTCAGATTTGGGTTTTCACAGATGTGCCAATATGACATCTCTAATAAAGTTTAGCTTTGAGGAAATTCAAGCCTCAGTTTGATTTCGTTGGGGGTGTTACTTGGAACCCTGATATTAACCCGAATCCCTCCTAAAATTACTTATCAGCTCCCCGGACCCCGGGGTACTGTTTGGGATCCTGAACCCCAACGCCAATCTGAAATCGGGCGGTGTGAAGACTCAGGGAAGATGGGGCCGGATGGTAGTTAAGGGAACCATCGGAGCAATCAGCAGCACCCCATGGATTCCTGGCAGTGGACTGGATCAGTAACGGAGGGTACCTTGCGGAGACGCATGCAGCTGCCACCTGACGATGCGGGACCAGAAGGGGAAGCCCCAGGGCGAGAAAAGGGAGAGGCCCGCTACCGCGACTTGTCCCGGAAATTGGAGGGGAGCCTGCTAATGACCGTTGCCAACTGGGAAGCAGAATGGCCCCCGTCCGCCCTTGGTGAGTTGAGGCTGCTCAATCCTCTGAGGCTCGCCCACAGCTGGGACCTGGGAACTCCCCCTTCCAGACCCCAGTGGTTCCCCATACCTACCTAGGCTGCTGGGACTGATGCTGCCTGGGGGGGATCTACAAGGCCAGCTGCAACTGGTTTGGCCCACCAGGTCCCGTTGTCCCTCAGCCCACAGGGGCCTGTGGCATGAGCTGCCTCAGTTCAGCTTGGGAATTGGTCCTCCTGCTGCTGCAGCCCCTGATCCCAGTGTGGTCTGGGGGCAACTGTGAGGTCAGCTGCATCTGGTCCAGCTCACCGGGATCGTTCGCCCCACAACCGCGGCAGCCTCCGGAGCTGGTACTGCTTGGCAGGAGCTATGGTGTGGCAGGAGGTGGGTTCAGCCCTCAGTGGGGTCTTGTCCCTCCACCGCTGCCGCCATTGCTGCCTTACCCCAAGCCAACATGGCCTGTAGGAAGCAATGAGGGTCTGGCCCATCAGCGGTCTCTGCTCTGTGGTGGCTGCTGCTACCATGACCAACTGGACTTCCCTACCGGCAAGCTGCTTCCTGTCCGCTGTGGCACTGATTCAGCAGGTGGTTTCCTTTGCAGCCATGGGAGGTCAATGACAATCCCATGAGAGGACACGGGGAAGAATGCCAAAGCTTCAATTGGCAGAGCAACTGGAAGGCCGGGATTGAAGACCCAGGAGCAGTGGCTGAGCCCCCCCCCACCGCCATTATGCCAGCAGAGTGTACACGCACCGGACCTTGAGAGGCGAGGAATCCAAAGAAGGGGCTTTTCCCCCTCATCTGCTATCTCTTCCCCTCTGCCAGCCAGAGTCACATCCCCAGTACCACCTGCGGATTTTTTCAGAGTGAACAAGAGGCAAGGCAGGGAAAGTTGCTGAAGGGAAAGCCCATACAGCCACCTGGAAGGCCTGCAGGACTGCCAAGAGTTCCTGCAAGAGGGCCCAAGCCAAAGATACATGACCTCAGATGGAGCTAGTGGAAGCCCCACCCCAGCAGAGGCTGGGTACAGAGGAGAGGGATTCCCATCTCAACTAGGACCTTGCCTTCCATACCGGCCCTTCCTCCAACAACAGGGGCAAAACTCCCCAACTCAACAGGGCGAAGCCAAAGGCCGCATGAGAGAAGGGACAAGGGGAGATTTGCCAAACAGGCAGCAGAAGCAACCCCAATTGATGGAGACCCGGCCAAAGAAAGCAAACCAAAACAGGTCGAGGGAAGCAGCGGGGACACCCTCCCCCCAACATGATCAGGGGAGCTCTTCACCCTTTTGCTCTAAAAATTCTGCTGGTAGTACCGGAAACCGGAGTCCAAAGGGAAGTAGAAGCCATCATCGATACTGGCTGTACCAGATGCCTTATCACCCCCCACACAGTTGAGCAACTAGGCATACGCACATGGCCCCTGCCACACCCGATCAGCTTTGAGCAAGTCAATGGAATGCTGATTGGCGGGGCAATTGTGAGTTGTGGGTCAGCCAAGGAACTGTGTTGTTTATATCTATATCTACAAAAAGCATCATTCCCATTAGATACATTTAAAAGCAAAATCTTATCCCTTTGCACATGATCAAATCAATTAGCAATCAAGCCCTGACTTTTGAAAAGGACAGCTGGCTACAGCACTGTACAGTAAATAAAGTTTTATTTTCTTCCAGCTCTGCAAGATTAGTATTGGCAACAATCAGAGATCAACTTATAATACAAGTAAATAGTACCTATTTACAAATTATAGGAGTGTAAATTTATTTCTCGCAAAATATACTACAAAAGCTATATATTAATAAACGAAGTCTTGCAATCTGGATTCATTATAAGCAAAAGCTTAAAAATAATGGCCTTTAATAAACAATAGAAAAAAAATAGCTAGCCAACTCCCATTCAGATTGTATTACATATTGTCTGAAATAATTTTGCAACATATGAAACAAAACCCACAATAAAATAAATAGAACCATTCATTTTTGTGAAAGCAATTTTTTTTGAAGGAAAATACTTCAATTCCTTTTAAAGAAACTATAAAGCTAAACTGAAAACTGTATCCAAATGAAGTACACAGCACTCGATGAACAATTTTTCTTAAAGGCAAAAAATTAACCATATTTATAGTCCCAATTGTCAACCTGTCCTTCCTTGCTGTGTTTTTCTCAGGTGAAACCTGAGAAAAACCTGTTCCATGCTTCAAAGAGCTAATTTGAGGATATGATCCGATTTCAAAGTTGTGTAATCTGTTATAAAGTGCATACATTACAAGTTCTTCAAGATGAAGATCAAAACCAGAGCTAGGAAAGAATTTGAGAGAAAAGAGGGAAGGGGAAAGAGACAGATAAAAAATATTATAAATGGTGAGAATACATGGCATGCAAATATTTGTAACTAAGCTATTTGTAATATTTGTAAGCTAACCAATTATAAAACAAATATATTAATCTTAATCATTAGTGCCACTAACATGTTGGCAAATCAGTTATTTTTCAAAGTAGCAGTGGTAGTTAAGGGAGACAGCATATGAAGGGAACAGTCACAATAACAGTGAAAAGACAGCAGACAATTTGATTTGATAACACACAACACATTGCAAGATAGGGAGGTGTCTATCACCAGGGATGTAAGTGACATGCAGCCTATAACTGACTGTATTTTTTGTGCTTTATGCCCCTCTGAAGTTTAATATGAATTGGGGCATTTGTTTTAATAGCTCTTGTGTGTGTTTATATGATGGTGCTGGTACCAGCCTCTAGACAGTGTTGATTTTTGACCACTGTGTGGACAAGTTCCTGCAGTTTTCTTGGCAAGATTTCAGACTTGCCACTGTGTCCTTCATAGTGCTGAGAGAAAATGACTGGCAGGTTACCTAGTTGGCTTTATATCTAAGGCAGACTGTAACTGAAGTCTCCTAATTTTAACCTGGTGCCTTACACTACAGGGAACTGGATTTTTGTAATAGTTTTAAGGTTATTAATAATTTTAAAATAATAGCTTTCATGTTATAAAATAATTCTATATATTTTTCCTATAAGTAAAATTTGTTTAAGTTTTAATATCACTGCTGTTCTGCTTTTAAATTGTGATTGTAAACTGCAATGCCTTCTAGCTAATTAGTGCCATTTTCATTTATCAGAGCATGCTTTCTTTTGATCTTATGCTGTAGGTATGAACAAATTCCACTGGTATAAAGAAGGAGTTAAAGCTCGTTAGAAAAATTATTTTAGGAAATAAAAAGAGTTAAGAATGAAACATGATCACTAAGGAATGAAGAAATTACTACTGTTTTAGTGAAAGAAAAGGAAAAACAAATAGTTATGTAACACTCACCTACGTTCTAACTAAAGCACTGCTTGATGATTTATTCAGAAGAGACCACTGGAGGTGAAGTGAACTATAAAGCCAGGAGGAGAACAGCTTATTGGATTAGTGTGTTAATCAAAGCAGATGTGACTACAGGAAGAGCATATTTATTTCTAGTTATGGCTATTGGTCAAAACAAACACTGCTCTTAACATTAAGCACAGTATGTCTATGTTCCGCAGAATATCCAGCATACTGCAGAGGTTAATTCCAGGTAATCAAAGATACTTAATTTTAAATGCTGTTTTGTGTAACACACTGGTATTGTAAGGATCGCCTCTCCTTCCAACTTAAGAAAGTACGAACTCTTGAAACGTAGTTGTTCAAAAGGATTCTTTTATTAAGCAGAAGTGAAAACCATCCAGCTAAAGCACAATCTGAATGCCCTTAGGCAAAGCAGTAGGATTAAAGTGGTAGAGACCCCTCCCTTTAGGTCAGAATGCAGATTTCAGCCAATACACAAGTGTGAAGATGTTTTCTTTACTATTTCCTTTGAGAACCCGAACAAACATGCATTCCCACCACTTCCCTTTAAAGTGAGACAACCCACATGGCTATCATATAAATTCCTGCAGGTAAAGGGAATCTCAGGCTTCCTTGGTGCCAGGATATAGGTTGTAAAATATCTGATGACACAGGCCATGCTAGTAAATCGAATCCAAGTCCCCCCTTCCTTCACTTGAATGGCAGTATCACTTTTAGGGATCTGACATGCTACCCTCCTTAGAAAACAAAAGGGTCCACCTGTAAAAAAAAAACAAATATACACAAGATTTCAAGATTTCATGATAGTAGATCAACAAGGTTTGTTAGGGTATTGGGAGTGAAATTTTCTCAGTAAGATTGGAGCCCTAACATGGTGTTTAGCGACCCATTCATTGTGTGCTGATGGTAAATATGTCCAAGCAACTAAGTATTGGACTTTCCCTCTGTGAATCCTAGAATCAAGGATTTCCTTGATTTCAAAGTGTTGTTCACCTTCAATCATGATGGGAACAGGTGGTGTAGATGCAGGTGGTCTGAGGGATGAGATTACTTCTCGTTTGAGTAAACTGATATGGAATACTGGGTGGATCTGCCTGAGTGTCTTTGGAAGAAGTAGTTCAACTGCTACTGGATTGATGATTCTAGTGATGGGGAAAGGTCCAATGAACTTTGGCCCTAGTTTCTTTGATGGTTGTAATGATTTCAAGAATTTTGTAGATAAGTATACTCTGTCTCCAATATGAAAAGGTTTGGGTTCCATCCTTTTCTTGTCAGCTTGAATCTTAAAAGCTTCTCTAGCTTCCTGTAAGGCTAATCTAACCACCGGCCACGTGTTTTGCAAATTATCCATCCACTTCTTAAGTGAGGGGATGGTGGGTTCTTCTGTGGGTAGTTCAGGCATGGGGCTGAAATCCTGGCCTGTTGCTACTCTAAAAGGGGTAAAACCACTGCTTGAATGGACAGCATTATTAAACGCAACTTCAGCAAAAGGCAAAAGTTCAGTCCAGTTATCCTGTTGAAAATTAATGAAACATCTTAAATATTGTTCTAGTACTGAGTTCAAAATTTCAGAATTACCATTAGTACACGGATGAAAAGATGTGCTCAACCCCTGGCCAGTACCAAGTAAGCCCAAAAACGCCCTCCAAAAGTTGGAGGTGAATTGAGCCCCTCGGTCGGAGATGATCCTTTGTGGAGCACCATGAAGTCGATAAATGTGTATTAGGAATAGTTTGGCTAAACTTTTAGCAGTTGGGATCTTTTGGCAGGGTATAAAATGTGCCTGTTTTGAAAATAGGTCTGTCACAACCCAAATAACAGTATTTCCCTCACTGTTTGGCAATTCCACAATGAAATCCATAGCGATCTCTCTCCAAGGCGCTGCAGGTTCAGCTACCTTCTGCAATAGACCTGGGGATTTCCCCTGGTGTCTTTTTGCTGCTGCACAAATGGGGCAGCTAGCTACATAGCTTTCTATGTCCTTTTTTAGTGATGGCCACCAAAATTGTCTTTTAATCAGGTGTAAAGTTTTCACAAACCCAAAATGTCCAGCTAATTTGGAGTCATGGCACCGTACCATTAAGCATAGTCTTTGGCTTGCAGGGACATACAACTTCCCCCCCACCCAAGCCAAGTCTTCTTTCATCAGACAGCTGGATTTGTTGTTCAAAAACCATTCATCAGTGGCCAATGCTTGTTTAAAATTTTGGGTGATGTCATTGGCTGTCACTGTTTCTTGTTTTTCCTGGGATCTGGTGACTACTTTAGCGGCTAGTTGACTGTTTTGTACTATAGGTTTGATTACGTCTGACCTTGCACGAATGTATTGCGGTTTTCTGGATAGCGCATCCGCCAGAAAGTTTTCCCCCCCCGGGAGGTATTTTAGAGTAAAATCAAACCGTTTAAAGTACTGAGCCCATTGTACTTGTTTTGGGGAGAGTTTCCTTGGGGTCTTTAGGGCTTCTAGATTTTTATGATCAGTCCAGACTTCAAAAGGGGTCTTACTGCCTTCTAGGAAGTGCCGCCAGGTTAATAATGCTCAACGAACTGCATACGCCTCTTTCTCCCAAATAGCCCACCTTTGCTCAGTCTCATTCAACTTTTTGGATGTGTAAGCGCAGGGTTGTAGTTGGTCTTGCTCATTCTTCTGAAGCAGGACCGCTCCTATTCCCACATCGCTGGCATCTGCTTGTATGACAAATGGTTTCTCCGTGTCCAGGTGTTGTAGAATTGGTTCTGCTGAGAACAGCCGTTTTAAGTTTTTCAAATGCTGCCTGGCATTCCATAGTCCAGTTCAATGGTTGCTTTGGTTTAGGGTTGTCCTCCCCCTTTGTTTTTAAGAGCTTGGTGATGGGGAGGGCAATCTGAGCGAACGCAGGGATAAACTGGCGGTAAAAGTTGGCAAACCCCAGGAAGCTCTGTAACTGTTTACGTGTGCGTGGAGGGTCCCAATCAAGTACAGCCTGCACTTTTAGAGGATCCATCTCAACCCCCTGGTGTGAAATGCGGTATCCCAAATAGTCAATCTTCTCTTGATTGAATTCACATTTGGAAAGTTTGGCATAAAGTTTGGCAGCGCGGAGTTTGTTTAAAACTGCCCTGACTAGTTTTACATGGTCTGCTTTGGTCTCGGTATAGATTAAAATGCCGTCCAAATAGACCAGAACCCCCTTATATAAATGCTGATGCAGCACTTCATTTATTAACTGCATAAACACTGCAGGGGCTCCTTGTAACCCAAAGGGGAGCACCTTGAATTGGTAGCAGCCGAGGGGGGTGTTAAATGCCGTTTTCCACTCATCCCCTTCCTTAATTCTGACACGGTAGTAAGCCTCCCTTAAGTCCAGCTTTGAAAAATTTTTCCCTTTAGCGAGGTGTGCTAGCATATCTTTCATAAGGGGGAGAGGATACACGTTCTGCACACTGATAATATTAAGGTTTCGATAGTCAACACATAAGCGTTTTGAACCATCTTTTTTCTCTCTAAACAACACTGGGGCTGCAATTTTTGGTCGGGCTGGCTCGATGAAACCCCTTGCTAGGTTTTTCTCAATGAATGTTCTCAGCTCTTCCAACTCCCTCGGTGACATGCTGTACATCTTGGGTTTAGGGAGTTTCGCGCCGGGTAAGATTTCTATTGCACAGTCAGTGGCACGGTGGGGGGGGGGGAGAGCTCATCTGAGGCTTTTTCGCTAAAAACCTCAGCTAAATCCTTGTATTCTATGGGTATGCCCTCAGTTGGTGTGGCATGACCAGGCATGGCTGTTTCTCGATTCTCTGCCCCCTCAAGTCCTTTATGTGGATACTCAGCAAAAGTCACCTTCCTCTGAAATTTTATGATGCCTTGTTTCCAATTGATTTGTGGGTTCCATCTTTTTAGCCATGCAAGGCCCAGAACCAACGGCCATTCCATGCCAGGTGCCACTATAAAGGTAAGCCTTTCCTCGTGGCTTCCAATGCCTATATGTAGAGGCATGGTGGCCAGAGAACCTGGCTCCCCTCCTGCTATTGACCCATCTAGTTGGCAGAAAGCAATGGGGGTTTTCAGCTTTCTTACGTTAATCCCTAACTTCCCTACTAAGGTTGGGCTGATCAAACAACGGGTTCACCCTGAATCCACTAGGGTGGGGATACTTATCTCCCTGTCCTGGTTTGGGATAAATAGGCTTAAGGGGAGGGTAACGGTTTAATTGGTTTGCTTACCAGTGGCTCATCATCTGGATCGCTTCCGAACGAGTGTGATTCCTCCTGTTCAGATGCCAGGGTTTCTTCCCCAAAGAGGGGAGGGGATGGGACTTCTACGGTCTCCCTGCTCCTCAGGGCAGTCTCCTTCCCACGCCGACCCAGTTTTCCAGGACCCTCCCCTGGTGGGTGGTTCCGGGTGGGTGTTTGCGAATGACACTCTGCTGCTCGGTGCCCTTCTTTTCCACACTTGAAACAGGCTGAAGATCTCGGGGAGAATGCGGTTTGTGGTTTGTGGGGCTCTTGCTTCCATTGGGGTGAAGATTTCTTCCATGCTCGCCCCGCTCGATACTGGTTTCTGGCCATATCGATCTCAGCTTCTTCGGCGGTGACATACCATTCATGTAGGTCATTCGGTGCCTCTCGGGCCACGCAGGCATTGTATAGATCATCACTCAGTCCGTCCTTGAAACAGCTCACCAAAGTATCTTCCGGCCAGTGCACATGACACGCGAGGTCCCGGAATTCTTCAGTATACTCTGCTACTGGCCGTCGCCCCTGCCTCACCACCTTAATGCGGTCACGTGCTTTGCGATCTGCCAGTGGGTCCTCGAACCGACGTCGCAGGGCCATCATGAAATGGTCGAAATTCCGCAGTTCTGGTGCGTTGGCATTATGGAGGGTCACCATCCATCTGGCTGTGGCACCCTCTAGGGCTAGGGTCACAACTCGCACTCGGGAGCCTTGGGTTTGGAAATCACGCCCATACTCTTGCATATAGGTCAGCACATGTGCCACAAAGAATCCTAATTGTTGCGGATTCCCATCAAACTTCACCCCAAGAGGGGGAGTTTCTCTTTCCAGCTGAGGAGCCCGGGGTTGGTTGGGAATGGGCGCCGGTGTGCGTGCTGCCTGGGGGGGGGAGGGTTTGCTGGGTCTTCTCCCGCAGCTGCTGCACCATCTGCTTGATAGGCAGCCTCCAGGAGGGGGGTGCCTCCCCTGGCATCATCCATGACTGCTGCCCTTTCAGTGCTCTTTGGTTGTTGTCCTGGCTCCCTTCGGATGTTAAGATTTTCCAAAGTCTCCATCACCAATTGGGTTATATGCCTCTTCAGATAGTCCTCCCTCAGGGGTGCTTCGATCAGCCCCCCCTGGTCAGTAAGGGCTTCTAGTTCCAGTTTCCACCCCGGTTTTCGGTTGCCACGGTTGAGGGTGACTCCTCTGGTTCTCTCATCCCAGCCATCTTTCTTCCCAATGCCAATTGACCAGCGGGGCTTTTCAGGATTCTCCAGGGTTACCACATCCTTTCCGATGGGTTGCACGAGACAGGCATCCGACTGGGTGGCGGTTGCTGTCTCTCCCCAGCAATCGGTTTCTCCCAGCTCTCTGCTTTGTTCAGACATGGTTTGGAAGGTTCCCTCAGTAGAGCAAAGATTGCTTCTCTGGGTTGACCGTTTTGCAGATTGTGCTTTCTGTAAGGATCGCCTCTCCTTCCAATTTAAGAAAGTACGAACTCTTGAAACGTAGTTGTTCAAAAGGATTCTTTTATTAAGCAGAAGTGAAAACCATCCAGCTAAAGCACAATCTGAATGCCCTTAGGCAAAGCAGTAGGATTAAAGTGGTAGAGACCCCTCCCTTTAGGTCAGAATGCAGATTTCAGCCAATACACAAGTGTGAAGATGTTTTCTTTACTATTTCCTTTGAGAACCTGAACAAACATGCATTCCCACCACTTCCCTTTAAAGTGAGACAACCCACATGGCTATCATATAAATTCCTGCAGGTAAAGGGAATCTCAGGCTTCCTTGGCGCCAGGATATAGGTTGTAAAATATCTGATGACACAGGCCATGCTAGTAAATCAAATCCAAGTCCCCCCTTCCTTCACTTGAATGGCAGTATCACTTTTAGGGATCTGACAGGTATTGCATTTAAATCTGCACAATCTTTCTAGATTAGAATACTTGACAGTAATTTTGATCTCTTTGTTGTACTCAACAATTCTCTGATAGTTTGCTAATATACAAACGAGATCATAAAATAAATGTTTTTCTTTTTCAAAATAATCCATTTTGGATTAATTCAAAATGAAATGTTGGCTCCAATACTGTACTTCTACTAACTCAACTAATAGTCAAAAGGAAAATTAAAAAGGATGAAGCGCAACGGTACACAGATGTTTGAAATAAAAAGGAAATAACAAGATTATTAGTGTGGAAGTGGGAAAATGGGGTCTCTATAATAAACTGGAAAATTGAAAGCTATATATGAAAAAAATTGTGGCAAATGACTTCTATACAAGGTTCAGATAACTTAATAGGTATGTCCATAAATGTTTTAATACTCAATGTTTTTAATGGTCTAATTATCTAATGACCGAGAGTTGCTTGAGAGTGAGATAGGCAAATTTATTAAATAAATGAATAATTAAAGTTACAGAGAATACAACTCATAAACTTTCTCTTTTTTAAATAGACATCAATGTCAAGATCTGATTTCACCTATGCAGTTGACAAATACCTATATTTTTATGCAGAATAAGAAAACTACATCATTCATTTCAGTTTGTCCAGTTTAAAAAAATAAGAAAATATGGAAGACATGGGAATGAAATATAAGTTGTTCATCTAGTAAAAGTTAAACATTTTCATAAAATTTGTTTTTCCCAATTTTACTGGATTGTCTTCACATTTAAATTGTATAGATTTATTTCCTTGGATTTCCTGTTTAACTATGAGGCAAGTATATTAAATACATATATGCTGATTTAGACATCACATTTTTATCATCATATTCACTAACAGTACTATTTGAGTGCTTGGCAACTTGCTCACATTTATGCCCAGTTGCAGCATTCTGTGGGACTATGATTTGCAACCCTTTTTGCCTGTTTCTGGCATTTTTCCTGTTTGCCAGCAAAAGATTCCCATTGGTTATGCTAGATTCACTTAACAACATATAATTTGCTTAATAACTGTGGTGACTCACTTTACAACTGTTGCAAAAACTATCATAAAATATAGTTTTATGTACCTATGGGCGTTTACATAGTGCCTCTGCTTGTACACAATAGCTTACGATCAAATTCTGGGTCAGCTATGGTAGTAAGTTGAAGATTACCTGAACTTCAAAACCTCTTATCAATTCTTACCAGTGTCTGAGCATTTTCTCGTTCTAAGATCTTCTGAGTTTGATCAGGAGGAAATTTCAGCACTGAAGTTATAACCTTTGCCATTGTCTAAAACATCAACAAAAGAAATAATGTTCAAACACTCAAGTCAATTCGTTTATGAAATCTTATACACTATTCTTAGGAATGTTAATGGAAGCACGGGGAAAAAAAAAATAGAAGCATGTATTTGTTTCTTCTCCCATGATAATTTGTAATATAATTTTTGTGTGTGAATGAATCAAGGGAATATTTACTTATTAAGACTAACAATTCAAATTACACATTCTATACGAAGATCCACTCTCTCCATGAAAAGAAGTGTTAGGGGTCAAGAAGACAGAATTTTTATTTTATTTTATTTTATTTTATTTTATTTTATTTATTTTATTTATTTTATTTTATTTTATTTTATTTTATTTTATTTATTTTATTTTATTTTATTTATTATTTTATTTTATTTTATTATTATTTTATTTTATTATTATATTATTTTATTATTATTTTATGTTATTTTATATTTTATATTTTATATTTTATATTTTATTTTTTATTTTATTTCAAATTTATATACTACCCTTCTCCCGGAAGACTCAGGGCGGTATACAGCCACAAATAAGAAACATAAAATACAAACATTAAAAACAATTAAAAGAATATATATCTATTTGGCCCCATAATTTAAAAAGTGACAAACCAATTAAAAACATTTAAAAAAATTTTTTTAAACCAGCCCGGCTTGCTGGAAAAGGAAAGTTTTAAGGGCATGGCGGAAGGCACCGAGGTCTTGGATTCTCCTTATCTCTGGGGGCAGCTGATTCCAGAGGGTAGGTGCCCCCACAGAGAAGGCCCTCCCCCTCGGGGTCACCAGCCTACATTGTTTGGCTGATGGCACCCCGAGGAGGCTCTCTCTGTGGGAGCGCACAGGTCGATGGGAGGTCATCGGTAGCAGCAGGTGGTCTCAAAGATAACTAGGTCCTGTGCCATGGAGCGCTTTAAAGGTGGTAACCAAAACCTTGAAGCGCACCCGGAAGACCACTGGGAGCCAGTGCAGCTCACGCAGGAGAGGTGTTATGTGGGAGCGTCATGCAGCTCCCGTAACTACCTGCGCGGCCGCATTCTGGACCAGTTTGAGCCTCCGGGTGCTCTTCAAGGGGAGCCCCATGTAGAGAGCATTACAGTAGTCCAGGCGAGAGGTGACGAGGGCGTGAATGACTGTGCACAGGGAATCTCAATCAAGAAAGGGCCGCAACTGGCGGATCAGGCGAATCTGACAAAAGGTCCCCCGGGCTACCGCCATCAGATGTTCCTCTAAAGACAGCTGTGTAACCAGGAGGACACCCAGATTGCGAGCCCTCTCCGTGGGGCCCAAAGACTCGCCCCCAATAGTCAATGATGGAGTCAATTGACTATATTGGGATGCCGGGAACCACAGCCACTCAGTCTTGGAAGGGTTGAGCTTGAGCCTGTTCCTCCCCATCCAGACCCGCACAGCCTCCAGGCACTGGGACATCACTTCAAGAGCATCGTTGGGGTGGCCTGGGGTGGAAATGTACAGCTAGGTGTCATCAGCGTACTGGTGGTACTTCACCCCAAAGCCACGGATGATCTCACCCAGCGGCTTCACATAAACGTTGAACAAAAGGGGCAAGAGGATCGACCCCCTGAGGCACTCCACAAATGAGAGGCCTCGAGGTCGACCTCTGCCCCCCTGCCAACACGAACTGCGACCGGTCTGAGAGAAAGGAGGAGAACCACCGTAATACGGTGCCCCCCATCCCCACTCTTCCAACTGGTGCAGCATGATACCATGGTCAATGGTATCAAAAGCCGCTGAGAGGTCTAACAGGGCCAGAACAGAGGAACAACCCCTGTCCCGAGCCCTCCAAAGATAATCTACCAACGTGACCAATGCCGTTTCCATGCTATGCCCAGACCTGAAACCCAACTGGAACGGATCTAGATAAGATGTTTCCTCCAGGAATTGTGGAAACTGTCGCGCGACCACACTCTCAACAACCTTCGCCACAAAGCGAAGGTTGGAGACAGGACAATAGTTGGGTAATACTGCCGGGTCCAGGGAGGGCTTTTTGAGGAGAGGCCTCACCACCGCCTCTTTCAAGGCAGCGGGGAAGTGACCCTTACTCAACGAAGCGTTGATAATTGCCTGGAACCAGCCTCATGTAACCTCCCGGGAAGCCAGTACTAACCAGGAGGGACACGGGTCCAGTAAACATGTGGCCGCACTAAGTCTCCCCAAAATCCTGTCCACATCATCAGGAGTCACAGAGTCAAACTCTTCCCAGATTACATTCTCAAGACTATTCCTCGTCACCCTGCCCGGGAGCAGACTGCAAGAGTTTTCATAGATGGAGAGGAAACGGAGAGGATTCAAATTTGTAGAGGTACAAGACAGGGATGTCCTCTTTCCCCTTTCCCCATTGCTATTTATATTGACTTTAGAACCCCTGCTTAGAGAAGTGAGAGGAAATACGGAAATAAGAGGAATGAAGATTAGGCAGGAGGAAGTTAAAGTTCAGGTTTATGCAGATGAACTTGTATTTATTTTGGATCAACCACTGGACTCGGGCCTGAAATTATTATGCTTGATTAGAGAGTATGGGAAGGTAGCGGGATTATTGATGAATGAAGAAAAAACTAAAATCCTAGCGAAGAATATGACTCAGATGCAAAGGCAACAGCTGGAGCAGTTAATGGGTTTAAAAATGACAAATAAAATTAAGTATCTGGGTATATGGTTGACTGCCAGATGTTCCTCCATAAAGGAGGATAACTATCTTCCTCTTTACAACCAGATGCTCAGAGATCTAGAAAGATGGAAAAATCTCCAGCTATCAATTTTGGGAAGGGTGGCAACCATTAAGATGTGCGTGTTACCCAAATGGCTATTTCTATTTCAAACAGTCCTGGTAAGGTTGAACAAAGAGTTTTTTACAAATTTGGATAGGAGTATATCTAAGTTTATCTGGCAGGGAAAGAAGCCGTGGATTGGACTTAAAATGTTACAAGAACCTAAAAACAGAGGAGGACTTGGACTCTCAAATTGGGAGCTTTATTACCAAGCAGCGAACTTGATTTGGGTGAAAGAATGGATGACCCTACAAAAGAGACGACTTTTGACATTTGAGGGAGCCGGTCTTCAACATGGCTGGCACTATTTTTTATGGCCGGGAGCGTCCAGCCACCCCAGACACTTTGAGGATCACTATTTACATAGGACTCTTGGGTACACTTGGGAAAAGATTAGAAGAAGAGTATATTTAAAAGTCCCATGTTGGATTTCGGCGCAGGAAGCTCAGATCTACCCGACATTGTATAAAGGGGGGAAAACTTTGACTTATGAAGTCTTTTTGGATGCTCAGGGTAATCCGAAGTCATGAGAATTATTAACTCTCCAAGGATATAAGATAGACTAGTGGTCTTATTCCCAAGTGCACTCCAGGTACAAAAAAGATTTATATAGTGAAGGAATTTACCGTAAAAGACAAGAATTGGATAAGATCTCATTAGAAGGAGGGAAAGGGGTATTATCTAAATGTTACGCATATTTATCATCTCTGCAGATAGGACTGGATGTAGTGAAGCGTTCACATGTAGTGAACTGTATGATAGCATGGAGGCGAAATTTTGGATATCCCCTTGACTTCCAGCAATGGGAACGGATTTGGTTGAAAAATATGAAGCTAACCATGGCCTCCTCATATAAAGAAAACATATATAAAATGGTCTACCATTGGCATCTCCCCCCTGCAAGACTAGCTAAAATGTTTCCCGGGACATCTTCCTGCTGTTGGAAATGCGGTTACAGTAATGGAACTTACTTTCATCAATGGTGGACCTGCCCGCAGGCGGTTAAATATTGGAAAAAAATACGGCAGTGGATTTTGGAATTGAGGCCCAAGATTTTCCTGTTGGGGGCAAAACCTTTGAATGTTAAATCAGGTATATGGTTCTTGTTGATTCATATTATTACTGCAGCAAGATTAGCGTTTGTGCAGGAGTGGAAAAATCAATACTTACCGATGGATTTGAAAATAATATATAAAATTAATGAGTGTGCAGAATCAGATAGATTAACTAGATTGATCAATGGTAAAAAAGATTCAGAATTTTATAACAGTTGGAAATTATGGTACGATTGGGTCCAGAAAAGGTGGGATAGAATAGATATATGATGGCAAGTATGTATGTATAAATGAATGACTTTATATTTATGGACAATGTACTCATATTACACCATGGTGGCAGAATTGTATATTTCATTTGTGTATTGATGCATAGAATATATTAATAAAATAAAAATTAAAAAAAAAGACAGAATAATTTATTGACAATGCATTTTCTTTTCTACTAAGTTAAAAACAATAGAAATGTAATCACTTAAAAGATGATGTTCAGCCTAAGTTTATTCACATATTGTTCAAAATATTTCCTTCCATAATCCTGGAATTACTTCTCAAATTAGTATAGGTTTTCAGTTACATTTTGCTGGATTACGTTCAGTAATATTGTCCTGTTCATATTTATAGTGGTAGATGGTCTGTTATTTTATCAGTTGCACTGATTCAGTGTTGTTGACAATATACTGTATGTAGGCCTTAGATTGGAGAAATCAAAGTAGATTATTTTGCAAGATTGTATCAATCCTAGTTTGCATAAATTAGTATAAACATGTTTGGGATAAAACCCAGCTTACATATATGATTAAATATACATTTAAAACATATGCAGAGAAATTTGTTCCAACACCTGACGATGCAGGGTGGTTCAGGGCCATGTGAGATGCCTAGGGAAAGATCTTGCCAATTATCTGGGAACAAATGATCAGGAATGGCCATACCAGTTTTAATCAGGGTCTAGGTCCGTGATGGCGAACCTATGGAAAGTGTGCCAAAGAGGGCACCGTTGCCCTGGGTCAGATCTCCGTGGTGTTTCTTTTGTGAGCTTCTGTTTCCCTGCAAATGAAGAAACAGAAGCTCACAAAAGAAAAAGATCTTACGTCTTGCCATGCTGCTGGTGTTGGGATGATCTGCCTCCCACAGACCAGC